TTCATCTCCAATCCGAGGGTTCCCTTTGTCTTTCTCCCTGTTGCATCTTTTGTTTCTTGTGTCTAAGACTTAACTTGCTCTTTTATAGGTAATCCTCTTGACAGAGCTTTCTGAGAAAACTGTTGTACGTGCATGCCTGAAAATATCTTGTTCTTCTCTTAACACTTAACTGGTATTTTGGTTGCATATATTAGGGGTCGAACGTTTTTCCTTCAGAATTTTAATGTTATTACTCCCTTATTGTTGTTTTTTATTCTTTTTCTTTTTGGTATTGCTTTTGAAGAGTCAGAATCTATTTTGAGTCCTGAACGTTTGTGTGTGTGACGCATTCTTATACTCCCAGTAAGCTTTTGATATCTTTTCGTTCCCAGCTCTGAGAAATTTCATCATCATGTACTTTCGTGAGGGTCTTTTTATAGCCTTTGTGTTAAAGACTTTTATTCTGGAAACTCCTCTTGAGTCACTTTTGTTAAACTTATGTGAATTGTTTTATACATTTTTAGAGGAAATAATTTATATGTATATATTGAAGGAGCTCTAGTGGCATAGTGTATTTCACACTGGACTGCTAACTGCAAGATCAGCAGTTCAAAACCACTGACTGCTTTATGGAAGAAAGATGAGGCGAGGCTTTCTACTGTTGTCAAGAGTTAGTCTTGGAAACCTACTGGGGCAGTTTTACTCTGTCCTGTATGATTGCTTCGAGTTGGAATCCACTCAGTGGCAGTGAGTTTTTGAGGTTTAAATTTATATGCAATATGATAATTACTTTTACATACCTTCTTTTTTTCTTTGTCTTTTGGGACTTATTTTCTATTTTTAGTTTCTATTAGCTCTTTTTCCTTTGTTTTGTTTACACTCCTTTTTCTTTTACCGTGAATGTATCCTTACCTTTCTGAGAGTACTAAGCACAGTTTTTTTTTATTAGGTTTGTTTGTTTTTAAGTATTTTTAGGTCCTTGAGCTGTTTTGTTTCTCTTTGAGTTCTTTATTTTTTGTCGATTTGTCCAGGGCTTTGAACCCGTTCATCTTTGCTCAACCTTTTGAGAATTGCATTTATACCCCAGATACACCAAATCAAAATCTTATTAGCAGTTATGTAAGAATTAGCATAGCATCTTGTAAAATGTACATTGTGATTCAGTATATCTGAGATGAAAATGCATGTTCTCAAAAAGGAATGAAAATTGAATGAAAAGGTTTGAAGTATTGGTTTGTATTTAGGAGGATTGGTTTTCTCTGTTTTTTTGATGTCTTATTCTTTATGGTTGTCTGCTCGATTAATTGTGAAATTGTGAAAATCTGAATTCTGTGTGTATTACTGGTGGGCCGTACTGGTTAGGACGTTTCACTGGAGGACCTCCAGTGTTAATATTTATGGATCTGATTCTCAAGGATGTAAGCCAAGAATTAGGTGGAATCTCGTTCAGCAAGTCAATTTTCACTAAGTACTTGTGTGTTTTCAAGATGTTATTTCTATTTTTTTCATAGCCCAGTCATCCCAGAATCTCTTAGGTTTCGTCTCTCTGGAGAATGACCCTCTAGACGTCTACGTTCACGTTCGTGTGTATGCGAGAGATTGAGAGACTGTGCATAAGAATGTGTACCATGTGTGTGATGGGAGAACATGGGGGGGCTCTCTGATTTTTGTACAGACTGTTGACCAGTTCTTTT